GCTACTAGGAACAGGTGCCTTACTAGTAGTAACAAGAAGCTACTAGGGGCTCCGATGTGACACAGGACACCGTTTCTATAGATGTCTTGATGGGGCAGTGAGGCCAAGTAACTCCTCGCAGAACAAAAGAGGGTCTCTGCCTTCAAACACCTCTGGATTCCTGCCTTCCATCTGGGACTTTTGATTGGAGTGTATTATTGTATGGATCCCATATATATATATATATAGTATCTATATCTTAATTCGTACTCAGGTATCTGTGCTGCACTGTTGAAGGAAAAAACTCAGCACGTAGCATGCGTAGCGTCAGTGTTCAACGGTCTACACAGCTGTGTTCCTAGGAAGGAGGATTCTTAATGTCCTTGATGTTCCAGCTGTTTGCACGAAGTTGTTCCTTGATTCCACAGTGCAACAAAGCAGTTCAAGGCTGTGGAGATTTAAGGACTATATGACTATATAAACAGGGCGTCAGTCACAGCTCCTTAGCAGAAATGCCAAATAAGTCGGATAACTGGCTTGCAGGATCTCAGCTCAGCTGCACACAGGATTCTGTTTGATCTCAATCCGGAACAGGTACACCCTGGTCACAGCAGCAATACATGATCTGAATACGTCTACATTTGTGAGTCCCACATATCAACGCAGCAAAAATACTTCAAGCCAGTCCTTTCACCCTGCTGCATGACGGTTGAACCAAGTATTTGACAAATTCTAGAAGTTGGCACTACCCCTTTAACACGGAACACGCCTACCAAGTGAAAAGCCTGGCCTTCTGCGATCAAGTCCTGGTCCAATCCGCACATAGGCCTAGTGACCGGAGCCAAAGGTCAGTCCATACGAGCAACCCTTTAGTTGAGCACTTAACTTCCAACTGTCTCTTCTCATTTATTGTGTCTACTAGCTTCTTGTTACTACTAGTAGGGCACTTGTTACTAGAAGCGATGCACTTGTTCCTAGTAGCTTCTTGTTTCTGCTAATTACACTTAACTTCCAACTGTCTCTTCACAAAGAATAAACAGAAACCATCGCATATCCGGGCGCATTCCACGTGTCCTGATTTGCCATCATAAGTTGAATTGAAGACCGCCGATGACTTGAGAAGATTGACTCATTATACATATATATATATATATACATTCCTTCTCGAGTACAATCCATCGCCCTCTTCGATGAGCACCCAATTGCTTGGCCCTGTGCTATGTGCGAGTCTCCGCGGCAAGTGATGATGCGTGCTGATGCCGGCCAGTCATGCACTGTCCTGAGGACAGGACAGAGTCAGCAAGTCCGGCTTAAATGCAATGCATAGAAAGTGGAATGGCGCAGTAGCCAAACTGAACATGGTTAGCATCCGAATCCAGAAGGAAAGGGTCCAAAACAATTGCAAACAAAACAAGCTGAGAGCTGTCATGTTTCGTATCAATTACGACGGTCTCCCACAAGCTGGGCTGCCCAACAGCTCAGGCGTGTTGTTCAGCAAGGATATCACAGCTGGCCTTGCACATCTGGCCTTTATACTATTTCAATGTTGCACTGCACAAAATACTCTATACTCTATATCTATATACATGTTGTTCGTGGTTGTCAGTCAGAAACCGCTGAATCAGCACCGTTCTTGGTCGACGTTGTCCGTCCTTTCCCAAGTATCTACATTCTTGCAGAACGCAGAACTCCAAGGACTGCAAATGTGCAACACGTCCAATTTCGGACATAAACCTGAAAATTGTAAAGATACAAACCACTGCAATTCAACAAAATTTTTAAATTTCAACGCAGAAGCTGCAAAGTCCCAAGACATGAGATCAATGTTCCACTTGTGGTATTGTTTGTTAGCTGACTTGCTCTTGTGTTGTCTTTCAATGATCTTCCAACAACGGCACAACATTCAGAATCACAGATCCATGGTCTAGCTTACGCGCAGGGATTGCAACCATGGCTTGACTTGCATCATCAGTGGAAAGAAGGAGGAAGCAATATGTATATATATATATATGTATACACGAGCGACAACATGTTGTTGTTTGACTTTGGCACTCGCCTTACTCAGCACTCTGTGAGTTCTGCTGTCGCAAATTTTGCTGCAAGAGTATGGCAAATGAAAAAACGAAAAAACACACACACTGCTCGCTCACACACCAAGAAAACATTTGAGCAGCGTCACCAGCGCCGAATGGTTGAACTCACACCCCTTTGCTTTCGACCCTTCGGCTGTACATCATCCCTCCCGTCCCATCCACCGACACACGGAGCATGCTTGGCACCGGACTTGGACACGGAGGAGAAAAGGATAGAAAAGGTATACTCGACCATTTCGCTATTTGAGGCTCCATGAGACTTGACCCAAAGGGCAGTCCCTCGAACTGATCTTTGAGCGACAATGCCTTTCTAGTGCATGGGGATTTTGAAGGCCCTGCCTCTCTGCAGGTGGCGGATACACCTGGCTTGCGGGCTCTGGGTATCGGAACTCAAGCTTGATACGTTGGCTTCCTCAAAGTAAAAAGAAGATGCATAAGGAAGCCAAAGTTGCCGAACAAGCTCATGTGAGGTACGTTCAGATCTGCCATGAGAGATGACAAGCACTGTGGACATGCTTTGTGATTACACCCAGGACTCAATCCACAAGAGACTAAGAATCAAAGTGCGAGCGCTATCCTGCATCCACTGCCCTTACTTCATTAAGTAGGCACCAACTCAATTAAGTAAGGGCGGGCTAAAACAAAGAAGAAACAAAGCCGCTCTATTGCTCTGTGTAAAATCCGTGCACTGCCTCCTGCGGATCTGTTTTAACTTGGCAGTCCGAGTCGAAGAGCCAACCAATGGGTGCCCGAATCTCCCTGGCAGCGAGCTGCGGCCCGAGCACAGCGAAGCCCCGAATTCCCACCAGTGTGGTCAACAGAACTCCCAGAAACACAAACAAAAGCTATCAGCTATCTGTTCAGTTGCGCACCGCAGGACCCTGAAGTTGGCAAGCAGCAGGAACATCGTCAACATCTTGAGCTGTACCCTAGAGGACTAGTAGCACAAATACAAGTCCCAGTGTGACGTTCACAAAGTCATCCCACCGGAGGGGCCAGTTAAGCCTGCTCTCGCCGATCTCCGAGTTCAAGATGGAACCCTCTCTCCAACTGTGCTTGTTCATTCTCGCAGAGTCCACCATGGTTTGTGGAGCCCTCTTGATGCAGTTCTCTAGTGGCAGTTGCAAGGAAGTTCCTCAAAGGCCGACCCTTGAATGTATGAGGACTGACTAGCCCAGATCAATCATGCCAGCAGCACAACACTTCCTCAGATCTGGATACATACTGGTCCAGCGCAAAGCCAATCACAACCGCCTCAGCTACTTCAGAATACGCACATGCGTCCAAAGTGTAGACGAACATCAATAGCCCCAAACTCTTCATGCGTTGTACACATTGCGCGTGTGCAAGATTCCGCTTCTACAGCAGCTTGGTAGAGTCTGTTGTAGCAAGCAGTGCACTGCTTGCCTTGCTTGTGTATCTCGAGTCGAGCAAACAGGGGGGAGCACACAAACGGGGTTCAGCGCACACCGTTTTGGCTAGATGGAACAGTTTTGAGGCTCTTAGTTTTCTGCTCAACCACTCCCAAAGGGTGCATAATTTGTCTTCTCTTCCAGAACTGATGGAAAGTGTTCTGCCAATAGACCAAGTACTAAGTACCAAGCTCCAAAGTGTGTGGATATACCAAGACTTAAATAATAATAGTAATAACTATAAAAATACGATCAAAGCTTTGTTATTATCTACTTGTTTTTTAACTTTAAAACTGTCTATGTTGTGTTTTTAGATTTGTGTTTTCTTATTTCAAGACTGAGAGTGGCCTCAGCCGCTCGACGCGGACTGTACCAGTCACCCCCGACGCATCCGACCGTCCGTCTCGGTTGGGTCTCAGGACACTCCGGCGGAGAGGCCGGTCGTCCCGGCCACAGGCCAAACGTTCATCCAACGTGAGGTTGACCTTGGCAACACGGGGCACTTGGGGTGTTGTATCTGGTTTTGCTGGAGTTCCCCGCAAAAAGAAAAGAAAAACTCCACCCCGTTCAACCCAGAGATTTGGGGAGTTGTATCTATCTTGCCCACCACATCAAGAATCAAGAAGGCTTCCAAGAGTTGGAATACCAATAAGTCGGAATGTCTTGTGTAAGCTTGCCAGGGTGATCACTTGCATTCGTCAACTTCCAGACGGTCCAGACGTTGGCTCAGTCAGGTCAGGAAGCTCTTGACAAAGCTATGGCGTTTGAAATTAAATTGAAGAATAAGCATAGATAGAGCAGTATTATAGTCATGAATCCTATCTGACAAGAAGTCAAGGGCTTATCTGCTTACTCCACCAAAAATCCAGCATGTCATCGGTGAAGAGCATGCTAGTGCAAAGGCCCGTTCACTCAGCAGATGTTCAATGTGTTCAACCAAATTGGTCTTCGCCTCAAGTTTCAAAGTCACAACAAATTGCCCACCCCAACTTCTTACCACTGTTGTTCGTCAAACGCAAGTTTCCCAAAAGAACAGCCCAGGCGGCAGGCCCATAATTCATCAGGAAAGAACGGAAAAGTCTCCGCTGTCTCCGCTGGGCCCAGGAGCCACTGCAGCGATGGCCATGGGGTTGGCGATCTGGTGAGCCTTCACCGAGGTTCCTCAGCGGTGACATCAGTGGAGAACACCCGAAGGTTGTGACTAGATGAACACCGATGAACACGGTACATGTTCAAATGTGTTGCTACGAGATCTGAACAGCAAGCAGCAAACATATCTGGTAAGCAACATATCGGCTCAATTGGCAGTATCTCTTCCTTCTGTGGCGAGTATCGATAGTCATACTGCTTCTGCCACATGTTCACCGGCTGGTCGTCATGAGTCCAAACGCCTGTCAGCCTGGCGTTCGGCCGGGACAGAATGTGGAGATTGTCTGGACGAGCAGTCCCTAAAACACATTGAAAACACTTATATAAGGCTTAAAGTATCTTAAAGGATTGCATTTGTTGAGCAAATCTAGCCCTTACAGCCCCGACAAGACCTTCAACCAAGCATAAAGAAAGGAAGAAAGAAGAAGGACAAAAAAAATTGTTTAAGCTAAAGAGAGCAAGAGAAAAGGAAAAAGAGAAGACGCATGTTCAATCCGAAGATCACATGAGAAGAAACCCTTAAGCTCTGCACGGGTTGTAGAGGACTGGATTGAAAAGCTCCTTGAATGTGCAACTCATTGCAACAAGGAAATCCCCACAAGAAAGCTTAGCTGGCAAGTCTAGTACCCTCTACTTGCTTTGCATTTGAGTAGTGAAAAACACTAACACTTACTTCAGCGGCCAAAGGCACAGTTTCATAGGGTGATGGATTTATGTTGTGTTGACAAAAAGAAACGAAACTACAATTCACTGCATTTGCTTTAAAAGTTCAAAGTGGTTTTAACGTAATTATCACTTACTTGTGATCCTGGTTGAGGCTCAAACTTAGAATCGTCAACAAGGCTTGCCAAATCAGTTCTTCCAGGGTTGATTAACACCCTGTAAAATGCATATCCGTTTGATGATCTGATTGATTTGCTAGAATGAATGCTTGTTCCTTGTACTCGTAGTGTACCAACACATATACTGTCAGTAAATTTGTGATTGTCATTGATTGTCCATTCTAGAGTATATTATACATGTGATGTGTGTGTGTGTCAGGGTGTTCAACCTCTGCCGCAATCTTTCGGATCAGAATAGCATGAGTCGAAAAGTGTGCTCCTTTCCTATCTTGTGAGTGACTAGTCAATGGACCCGAATCGTGAAACAAAGAATACAGGTCGGGTCTTTTCCGAAGGTGCGTTCTCTGCCTAGGCAGTATGTCACAACCAAGACTTTGCAATCCTATTCTAACCATCGCAAAGACGAAGGAGGCACTGTAGACAATTTGCCAACTGCAAGACCCAGGCACCGACTTGCTGTACCAAGAAATGCACCCCTTGAATTTGCATGGTGAAGAAGCGACCGCTGGATTCGCCTGGCACGGGCACATCTCTGAGGCCTGTTTCGGACTACAAGAGTGGCGTCTCCGCAATGATTCAATATATTCTTATGAATCTCAGCCTGTCCCTTGTGTGCGGAAACAAACGAAAACAAACGCCGCTCCAGAAACTCAACATCGGAACACTGTTATCCCACCGCCGCCATCGGAGGATTGGTGGCGTTGATCTCAAAAATGTAGAGTCCAGGGTCAAAGCCTAAGAAAGACACTGTCTTGGCAACAACCTTGTTGGCAAAGGTAAAGCATGGCAAAGCTAGGAATCTGAGAGGCCGTCGGAAAGGAGTGAAACGAGTCAACCACAAGCATGCGGCACACACAAAGAAAGGCACTCAGGTTGGAGGCCATCGCTCTTAGGTTGGAGGCCATCGCTAGTAGTTCCATTAACAAAGAAAGGCACTTAGCTCAGCACCTGAGGTGTTTGCTCGGAACTCCAACCGCAGCTCGCCCAAGGGTGGGGTCAGCCAATCCCCAAGCTGGCATCCAAGCCCGCACTTTCTCACCCACATGCACAATCAAGGGTTGCCGATGGAGGCCATATGTACCGATAGTATAATATGTGTATATATATATTATATTAGTTATCTCTCTCCCTCTCTCTCTCAAGAGGGTTTTAAGTACTTAATTTGAACTCTGCAGTATCCTCGTCCATAGGTACCAAGAACTTAACCCGTGTGACCTCTTTGAATTGGCTTCAGCTAGCGGGGTTACATGTAAAGGTGCAAGATGGATCAAAATGGGCTTCAGACTTCTGGAAATGCTTCAGACTTCCGATCGGAACCAATGTTCGAAGGTCACGCTGCCTTTGCGCTTCCTTGCTGAACTTTCCTATTTGTATGTCCATCTCCTACGCATGTGGCCAGCTTCACCCTGCAAACCAAAGGCACAATCGATCGCCTTTGAATCCAGCTAGCAAATGAAGCAGCTGCAAAATTGCACTCCAAAGTAGACTCTAAAGGAGGAGCAGCTGCTTCACCCACTAGAAAATCCACCTATGTCCAAAACACATCACTCCTTGCAAAGTGTTCGTTCACTGCTCTGCATTGACATGAAAACAAAGGGCAACGTTTCAGCCCAACATATACTGCAGGCAAAGGGCACAGGCTAGACCATCACCGTCCATTCAAAAGTAAATATACTGCAACCTTCAATCGATACCATGATTCTGATACCGAAGCGTCCCATCACCCCCACCTTCTCTAGGGCCGAAATGAAGGCAATGTACCTGGCATACTGGCTTGGCTTGTCTAGGAGGATGGATGCACCAAGAAAAGTAAAACAACACCAGAAAAGGGGGATGAGACAAAACCAGGGCCAAAGCAACCCCCGATAAAAAAAAATCAGATATGTCAGATATGTTTATTCCCATTATGTAGCTCTCCATCTCTCGATCTTGCTACAACAGGCACCCTTTTTTTAGGCTGTCAGGGTTGTCAGGCCCTGAAAAGGAAAAGGGGCGCCCCCGCAATTGTGCAAGAACTCCACGCATGAAACCCGTGCACCTAAGGCACCGCTCTTCCAACCTCTACTCTTCCAGCTCATCCCGGAGTCAAACTAATTGTAACCAGCCCATCGATCGCACCGGAGTCGGAGAGAAGATGGGGCGGGCTTCGAACCCAGCTCCTCAGTTCCATTGGCTTCGTAGCGAGCGAATTTGTGAGTGGTGTAAAAGTGCGGACAAAGAGTACTCTGGAATACACTGGACAAGTCCAAAAGCTACAGCAGCATCAGAGTTGAAAGAGGAGACTGTGCGGGCTCGATCGATTCTTTGAGCACTCTATGTGAATGTCTGCCACAGTCAACCAACTCCTTAAGTGAGGTAAGACGAGAAACGGAACGGAAATACGTCAGTTGAAGTTGTAGTGACTTGCATTCAGGTTTGGCAATGCCCTGAAAGTCAAAATGTGGGATTGTTATTTTGAATTGAACCTGCATGTCCCACGGCAGATCCGGGGTCTGCGCTGTAGCTGCCCTGACATGGCTATACCGCACGTTCTCCAGCCACTCCTTGGGCTGAAGGCGTGGGGCAACACGGTCAAGGGCTCAAAATGGCTCACGCTCTTCAAGCGAAGCTGCGAAGCCTTGAGGCCTGGACAGGATAGCTGAAGATATCCATGTGGTGGTACGGCCAAATCACCTGTCCAAGAAAAAGACCAGGCCTCCGAGCTCTCCAAGATTGGTGCCCGGCCTCCAGGGATCCCTCCGGTTCAATGCGCGTGACGATCTCGATAAACAGCCTTGGCTGAATGTGTCTGTGATCCCGAGCTGGGTGCAGCTACTCAAGCTCAGGGGCCAGATGGTGGTGTTTCTGCCCCTCACAATGTCGCTCGACTCGATGCGTGCATTGCGCAGTGCCTGGACAGCTTTTCGGGCGCAACGAACAGCAAAGCATATGCAGGATTGACAATGCCTCGCCTGTTGGCTCAAGCAAACTCACAATACAGGGTTCTTTCGGTGTAACCCATCTGTCTGGTACATTCCAAGAAGCATTGAATATGAAACAATTCTAGGACTTTCAGTGAGGTCGATACAGCACTGCAGCATTGAACTCCCAATTCACAAGCCCTGTTCCCGGCCCGAATCGGAGCTGCAGGTGTAGAGGCTGCCACCGGCTTGGGATCCCAGCCACTCCTGGGTTTGTGGAGAAATGAGTTGGGCACTTGCAAGGTATTGAATACCGTTGATATTCGCAACTGTCTTTCAAAGAGGCTTGTTGCACAGGGATTTGGGCTACAGAGCTCTTGGACTGGCCAAACATAAGAGGGTCACTACAGCAACTGTTGCTTCTGAAGGGAACTGGAACAGCATCGGAATGAGAGTTCAAATGCTAACAGTAATTTTCAGATTTCAGTGGCATCCACTTGTTCAGATACTGCCCGCTAGTATCAACCTCAACACAAATTCTATCCAATGTTGGATCCACAGCTGGTTATGCGATGTTCAACTAGAAAATTTGAAGCTTCGCGGTTCCACATGCCCCACACTGAAATAGAACTACTCAAGTTTTGAAGGCGGAAAAAATGCACTGAACCAAAAAGAACTACAGCTGACAGGAGACACACCTTGAATCCAAGGATCCTGTTGAAACCCCACTCGAACCACCAAGCCTTGCCAGTGGCTCACAAGAGTTTCAGTCGACCGTCGTTCCAAGCAAAATCTTGACGCAAATGACAGGTTCTGTCCACGCACGCTGGTTTGTTGCCAGGATTGCTGCATCACCTCTACTGATAAAAGACATGAAACTATCAGCTATCAACCCGGATAGAGCCCTTCAACATCAGAAGAATCATCGGCCTAAGCTCCAATGTCCAATCAAACGCAAGCAAAAGAACGAGTCAACCGAGGCAAAACACGACCGGTGTCATTGCCTGCGGGCTCTGGACACGAGGATACGCGGGGACCTGTGGACAAAAGTCCGAGTTGTTTCGCTACTCAAAATGAATCAAACGCCCAACACCTCAATCATTTGGCAACATCTGTTCTTCCACATGTGCACTGTATGTACGTGCCGAAGAAAGTACGTAAGTGTGTATGTATGTATGTATGTATGTATGCATGCATGTATGTATGCATGTATGTATGTATGTATGTCTGTGTATGTATGTATGTATGTATGTATGTGTACGTAGGTGTGTGTGTACGCAGGCACGTATGTATGTATGTATGGATGTACGTAAGTATGTATGTGTGTATGTATGTATGTGCGTATGCATGCATGTATGTGTGTGTGTGTGTGTGTACGTACGTATGTATGTATGCACGACTGTATGTATGCGTGTGTAAGTATGTATGTGTGTATGTATGAATGTATGTCTGTATGTATGTAACTATGTATGTATGTATGTATGTCTGTTTGTTTGTTTGTATGTGTGTATGTATGTATGTATGTATGTATGTATGTATGTATGTATGCATGTATGTATGTATGTGTATGTATGTATGTATGTATGTATGTATGTGTGTAAGCGTGTATGCGTGTATGTATGTACGTACGTAGGTATGCATGTATGCACGCATGCACGCATGTGTGTATATATATATGTGTGTGTGTGTGTGTGCATGTACGTGCGTATGTATGTATGTCTTTTGCGCTGTTTTTCTCCTTGCAGTGACGAGAAGGTTTTTTGCCCTGGGCCACAGGCGGGTCGTCAGAAAAGTCGACCTGACGCCCTCGTCCTTTCTGCGTTC